TTTTTTTTTTTTGAAGCGTCTTGGTTGCGTGTGTTTTTTGACTTTTACAAGGTGAGTTAATTTAGATTGAAAGAACTGAAGCTGCTGAGGCTTCAAGCAGTGACAGTGAGGCTTTTTTTGGTGTAGATCCAATTCTTTTGGATATTGAAGAAGAGTGGAAGAAAGGTAAGTTGACTTTTTTGGGAGCCTTTTAAGTGACTGGTTGTCTTATTAATTTTAGGTTTCATTTGTATCAGAAATAATCTACTTTTTGGGTTTTGTAGTGCCTCAGGAAGATGAATATCAAACAGGAGTATCTTATCCAGTCGAACCATATTCGGTTCATTCAAGACAAACTGACGTTTTAAAAGTATGTTTCCTATAAAATAAATAATATTCCGTGCTGGCGTAACTGTTTTGTCATTCTGATCTGTACAGCATATGGGGTTTCCGTATTATCGGGAAATATCTGAAGTGGATAAGGTTTTGTTTTTTACAGCTGCTTTCTTGGTATAATGAGGTTCTTTTCAATAATTAAAACTGTAGTTTCCCAGTATTGCTGTATTAGACTTACGTTCCTAATTTGTTCTAGTCGAGTAGAACTATCAAAAGTTGATGTAAAACTTTTTGGGAAATTTTGCTTTACCTTTAAGTTATTGCCTATGTTTTTTTCAAGAGTTTTATCGCGTACTTCAGATATCTCGCGGTTTTTCTGTTGCATGCTACGTTAAGTGTGATTTTGTACAAATTCGTTTTCACAGTACTACTTGTGAGACGCAATATTCACCATTCGGTTTGCTCATTAATTTTGCCAGGGGATAATAGCGATTATTTGCTTTGTCAGGTCCGGCAAGCTGTGATTGAGAAGTACCCTTCTTCAAGTTACGGTCTTCAGAAAATTCCGAGGCCGGAAACGTTAAATTTGTCGGAGCCGTCTCCTCAGTTTTCAGAACAACGTTTGTGGCCACAGTTTGGTAAAAGATTGGTTGAAGAGGAACCACTGTTAAGCAAGGTATTGGCATATAAATTTTTTAATGCGAGAACCACTCTAGTCTTTTCACAACAATAATTATTTGCTTCACAGTCATCATTCTTGTTAACGTCGTAATTGACGGATAAATTGGGTGCGTCTAGTAATTATAGATTTTTGTTTGAAGTTAAATTGCATGGCTTTTTCACAGTGAGCGTTTAATGACAGATACTTGTTTTTGTCCTTGTTCGTTGTTTTGTTTTATCTGTTCTAATATCATTGAAAATGTTGCTTATCAGTAGGTAGTTGTCTGTTTACGAATGGACTTCCCAAAAGTGTAACGGTTGCTTTCTAAGCTTACTGTTTATGAGCTACCGCTTTTTTGAATGATAACCAGTTTAGCATGTTTTTTTTTTTGCTTTGTACAGTTTTTTTTAATTTATCGTTATTACTTTTCTAATCCTCCATTTTAAATCCAATTAAGCCTGACGTTCTCAAAATTTGCTTTAGTACGGTAAATATCTTCTGAAATTTTGGTGTGAATTTGTTAGAGGAGCCAAGCAAGCAGTTACCGTTCATGTAATTGTTGGTAATTAGTTTAAACTCAATTTTATAAGATTTAGCAATTGTTATTTCTAGCCTCAACAGGCAGGCTGCACTTTGAGACATCAGGCCGATCTCTCCTATACTCCTCGGGAAGTTCAGGCAAGTGTTCTTTACTGGTAAATTAATCTTAATTTACAGTACAAAGTTGTTTGATTTCATTAGCTGGAATATAGTTTTATATTTTTCTGTAGCTTTGCCGTCAAGAATCTTGACATTAGAAAGTAAATCATATATGTTGTGTATATAATTAAGTGTCGGAAGAAACGAATGTCTCTTTTCAGCGCAAATTTAAGCTTTGTCAAAATGCAATACGTTATCTAGTTAGAGAATTTGAAGCATCATTCATAACTTTTTTAAAGTTTTCTTGTTTTCCATTTTATCTAGGTAATGGTTTCAAATTTCCGCACATAACGCTTCCTTCTTTGCTTAAGAAAGTTAACACCTTTCGCACGTTTTTGCCTGAAATCAGTCATCGCCGGCGTTTTATAATTAGGGACCCTGTTATAGATTAAAGCTTGAAGTTTTTTAACATTTCAAATTTTTCATTTGAAACTTGGAGGCCGGTTAACTACTGTGATGAGGTTTCCATTGGTCTGTATTTTACTATTTGAATCACTTTTTCTGCAGGAAAGCGCTAAAATAATACCGGAACAATCAGCGAAAACAGTTTCTCCTCTAGGGCAAAGGATTCAAGTAAGTTTTGGTTTGAATGGGAAGTTTGAAAAGTACAACTAGCGTATTATTACAGCAATTAAAGCATGTATTTCGTGTTCGTGCGCCTCGTTTGCCGCGAAGTCGTCTTCATGGTGTTGGATTTGGATTGTGGAGGAAATTTTGCTACCGAAGGTTAAACCAGGTCGATCGCGCTACAGCGGACGAAATCGAGAGCTTTGAAGACCATAGGTATGCTTTATTGTGGTAGAAAACAACTTTTTGGATTACATTTGTTATTTTTTAGGCCGTTTTTCACATATTACGTCACCTCAGTGCAAATTCTAGTTTGCTTAGCAAGCATATTCTTTCACGGATTTGGTCCTATTGGAATTGATCACAGAGAACGAACTGCGAGCGTGCTGCATACGTCTGTCGTTTTAAGACAAGTTTCAATATATGAGTTGGAAAATATTTGGCTTGGGCCGAAATTCGTAAGCAGTCATCTGTACAGTTATTACTCACTTCTTAATTTTTTAAAGTGATTTGAGAAACTGCTAGGATCCTAGCTAATTTCTTGCAAAAGTTTGCTATTTTTTCTTTCTAATTCTTATATCTATTTTAAAGTCTGATTTGGTGCACTTGGGTGCTAAATACGCACCATGCATGCGTCGGGATCATCAAATATATGCAGAGATAGAGAAGGAAAGGAAGGCGGAAAGCCAGACTGGTTGCTGCATTTTTAACGATGGGATTGGTTGTTTTCAAGCCTCGGAAAATGAGTGTCCGGTAAGAAGTTGTTTTTATCGTTGATGGGAGACTTCTTAACTTCCTCTTCCCATTTTTTGTATAGGATTATTCTTTGTGCCCTAGGTTTTCTTTTCAGAGTTTTATTGCTACTCTGGTCAAGTGGTCGAAAAAGACCAAAGGACCGCTTGGCAGAACTTCTGGTGCGGTTTGTGGTCAAGATCCAAAGTAAGCTTTTAAGTGTTTGCTGCTGGTTGTTTAAACGTTTGAGAACTTTCATTATGGACATCGTGTATTAAATCAGTTTTTAATGGTAACTTGATAAATGTCTAGTAATTAATGTCATTATTTTTTTTATCCTGTTGATAATTAACGTTTTTTTCAGTTACTGTGATGAACCGCTTTCTGCTCCTCCGTCCGCATGGCCAGATGATATTTCGGAGTGGCCGGTATAGTTTCTCAATGTAGCCATCATTGTTAAATTTCAGTGGTTTACGTTTTCTTTCATTATCGCTTTCACCATCTCCTTCATTAGATGTGCAGACGTCGAAGTCACCACATAGTGCCCGAAAATGAAAGACATCTCCACTGTGAAATTACGGGACACCCTTGCTGTATCCTTCTGCATGGTCAGTGTCGCATAACAACAAGAGAATATTGTGACTTCGTGCAAGGATTTTACCATGCAAACGCTACTCTTTGTTCACAGGCACGGTTTAAATATTGTTTTCATTTGTCCGAAGAGATTGTGTCACTCTTCATGACTTTCTAGGTGTCTTGTTTGAGCGAGGTTTGCGGAATGCTGCCATTTCTTCGTAGAGACCATCCAGATCAGATTTATCGCTTGTTTCTGTCTCTTTTTTTACATGCAGGGTAATTTTGAAATTTTATTTTGTCAAGTTTTACTGATTACATTTATTTTTATGTATGGTGTTCTTTCGAAATAATAAGTTTTTTACTTGTTTAATTTACTCTTTCTTTGCCCTGTTTTTCTAAATTTTTTCCATCTGTTGTTTCTAGGCTGTTACATTGTTTTCTGACTTTCCTTGTTCATTGGTTCTATATGCGTGATTTGGAAAAGTTGATTGGTTGGAGCCGCATGGCTGTTCTTTATATGGGGTCAGGTATTGGTGGGAATTTGGTCAGCGCCATTTTAATGCCATATCAGGTTTGCGATTTTTTTTGGTCGTGAATTTTTTAGGCTAGTTTTGTTTAGCATTAAATGAATTACAGGACTTTCTAAAATTCTTCTTTTAGCCTGAAGTTGGACCGTCGGGTTCTCTTTTTGGAATATTTTCTGCAATGTATACGGATGTCATATACAACTGGTATGCTGTGTGGATCTATGGCTTATCAACTGTTGCAAGGTTTATTGATAGGAAAGTTTTTGCCAGTAATTTTAGTCGAATTTAGGAGGATTATTGCTAAACCTTGGGGAGCACTTCGAGATTTAATTTTGTTTACGCTTGTGCTTTTTCTTATTGGAACACTTCCTTGGATCGACAACTGGGCACACATATTTGGTTTTATTTTTGGTCTCCTTATTTCGTTAGGTACATGTCATACATATTCTTCGTGTGTATGTATATATGGGCCGTCCCATGCCAAGTGGCGCACTTTTTTCCCTTAATATCTCAGATTTTTAAAATTTTGCTGATTAGTAGAGTTCAGGCCGCTATACAGCAAGCTGATAAAGAAAAAACTTGGAAAATTCAGTTCCCCACGAAGTGACACTCCCCTCAAAGTTGCAGAATTTACCAGGTTGTCGTTCAACATTCCTACCTTTGCAGACATGTAATTTAGCCTGTTCTTTATAGAGTTCAACGATTTTTTATTCAATTGATTTCCCATATTCTGAATTTCTTGATTTCGAGTGATTCATAGATACAGTAAAATTAAGATTTCAGAACGACATTAAAAGAAGTGAATCTTTTAATTTTTTAAAAAGAAATCAGGCGTTGGATTTTTCGCTCTACAGCTCAGAATTTGGTGATGACGATTTTTCAGTACCGAGAGCTGCGTGTCGGAATGGATTGTAAAGCTGAAAGGAGCTTACTGGTTTTTATAGTAGTCCCATATATTTTACAGTGGCTAATCCGCCTGGAGCCGCTTCTGAAGGCCACAGCGGGCGGCTACAAAAATCCAGTGTGCTTGAAACGTTGGAAATTTGTCAGGAAAGTTGTACTTTACTTCAATAATATTAAGAATCTGTTGTTTTGCAGAGTTGTAAGAGGTAGCTTTCACTACTAGTGCTTCCTACTTCTTGTATAATTGCGGCTGCAGAGCTCTTAGAATCGTTTTCATAATTTAATCGTTAAAGTTTTGCTTACACAAACGGAAGAAAGCTGGACTTCTCGTATTTTTTTTAAAGTATTTGCTCCGGTTCTCTAGAAACGTAGAGTTTTAAGAAAAAGCTTAATCCAACAGCTAGTCAGGTAAAGTGGGAAGTTCTTGGACTTTTTTGTAACTTGAAAATGTATACTACCTTCATAGTTTTGACAGAATAGAACATAAGGAGCATAAAACGCTGGAGTGAAAATACCTCTTACAATCTGCAAAATAACGAGTTGTTAGTATGATTGAAGTAAAGTACGGCTTTTTTAACAAATTTTCAACGTTCAAAGCATACTGGATTTTTGTAGCCGCCCACGAAGTGCTTCCGGACGGTTTTGCCACTGTAAAATATGTGGACTTACCGTGAAAACAATGGGTTTTTCCGTGTTACATTCCATTCTTGCCGTACCTCGTGATACCAAGAAGTCGCCGTTGCTAGATTTGGATATGTTGTAGAGCAAAAAGTTCTACACAAGCATGTCTTTTTCAAAAAAATTTCAAGGGATTATTTTTTTAATGTTGTTCGAAATCCTATTTCTACCGTATTTATGAGTTGTTTTATTAGAATTGAGTTATTTAATATGCATCTAAAAGTTCAGGGCATAATAAATCTGTTATATCGTTAAATTCTATCAAGAACAAGCCAATTTACAAGTCTGCAGAGATAGGCATGTCAAGCGACAACTTGTGTAACGTGGCTGAAACCACTTTTCCAGTTTTTTTTTCAGCTTTTTTTGTGCTGGCCTGAACTACAAATCAGCAAAATTTAAATGAATTCTGAAATATAAAGGGGAAAAAATGTGCCATTTGGCATGGAATGGCCTATATATATATTGTGCTTCAAAACGAACATGCAGTTTTAGAGGCATTGGTTCGTTATTTAAAGTCAGGAGGATTTTTATTGGTTTTTGAATTTTAGGCACTTTTCCTTATATCAATTTTGGAGTTTATGATCGTCGGCGTATTATGACGATAATCAGTTGTTGGGTTGTTGTAGTACTTTTATTCGTACTTTTCATGCTAAAATTTTACGAGTTCCCTAAAGTAACGTGGAGTTGGACGGAGTACATTAATTGCATTCCACTGACTGAGCACATGTGTGACAATCAAGGGATTCAGCTAAAAAAGTGGTTGAATATATAAGTAGTAATTACAAAGATAATGAAGTTTGTAAGTCTCTGTTTGGCTTATTTTTTTTCATAATTTGTTTAAAAAATTTCATTTTTATTGTCGATACTGTAGAGTTGCTCTAGAGGTTCTGCCTGTGTTAGTTTTTCACTTAGTTCAGGGAAGGGAACACTTATACCATTTGTCAAATCTTCGTTGCTATGCTCTTAACGGAGCTAGTTTTTCGTTCCGGTTGTTGTTATGTTGTCTTTCATATTTAATTTTTGTTTATAAATTGTTTAGGAGCTGATCTTGGACTCAGGAATTTAAGGTTTAACTTTTCTACAAGAAGTTTGTTTATTGTGCTTTTTTCATTTTTTTCTTCTGTCTTTTGTTGTTCGACATTTGCTGGTAAAATACTATTTTTATAAAGTTTTATTACATTATTTCTTATCTAATTTAAAATTATGGGTCTTTATTCTTTGTATTTTCAGCTGAACCTGCCAATAATTGTTTGTGCTTATGAGCTGATCTTTTTTTTTTGCAGTTTTTTGAAGATGGATATTGGTAGCTTTCACATCAGATGTTATCATGACTTACACTGTATAGATTTTACGGATCTGTTTTACATGCTAATCAGTTTCTGTTAGGTGCGGATGAAAATAGTATTTTGGAATTTGCTTATTTGGTAGTTAGAACAGTAAATAATTGTTGGGTTTTTTCGAGCGCAGCAGGTTTTTATTGCTTGCGAAGCAAGAAAGAAACAGTACTTTAAAATTTTGTGATTAGGGTTTTAAACGAGAGAGAAAAGAATTAAAATTGTTTCGAGAGAGAACTAGAAAATTTTTATTGATTATTCTTGCTTTATTGTCTGGTTTGATTAATAACTTGTAAGAAAACGAAGCGAGAGTTCGATTGGAGCGCACAATTGGGATGGGTCGTGCTTCGCTTGTTTTGCTTTTGATCGTTTTTCTGGTTGTCACCGGAGGTAATTTGTCGATTTTTTTTTCTAGAGCAAACTGTTTTGCCGGCTCGATGGTTGACTGCTAGAGGCGGTGGGGAGCACAGCTTAAAATGATTTCTTGAGAAACTCAGGGATGGATGCAGTCTCTATTACGTGAATGATTTAGAATTTAAGCTGTTGTGGCTCTTTATTGGCGAGTTCGTATTGAGAGCGACTAAGTTTTTTCTTTTAACACTTGGTGCTTGGACCTTCGTGCTTTTCCCGCGCGAAATAAGGGTTCAGTTTAGGGATCTAATGGAATATCCAGTAGAAGAAGAAGTCAGTCGGTTTTTAATGTTAGCGTTCTTCGGTTTGCTTCTTTAATGATCTCAAATCTCAGTGTACTCGATACTTCGTTGGCTGCTGTGGTGTCGTTTGAAGCAGCTAGAAGGAGCAGCAAGAAATTACAGTTTGCTTATACTTTATGATTGTGTCAAGGAGCGGGTTATTTTCATGACAGGTGTTGAAGAAGACAAGTGATGGCTTAAAGTCTCAGTTTTTGTTCGTTCAGATTTGTGTATCCAAACAACGAGATCGCTTTTTCTATCTCTGTTTAACAGTCGGAGATAGTGCTGCTGTGCTTTTTCCTTTACTCTGTATTTTTACATTGTTTGAGCAATTGATTTTTGGTGATACTCAGAAGAATTTGGCTAAAACAACAGTCATGTAATTGTGCTGCTGATTCAGATTTACGTGGAAGAATATTGGCGTTGGCTAAATTCTGAAATTAAGCAGTTATGGTACTGAGCAAACTTCTTTTGTAGTTCATGGTGTGAACAGTATCATGGTAAGATAAGTGTCATAGGTCCTAGTCATACTTCAGGCTTGAACGCTGTTTGGTAGTATCAAAGCGAATCGCTGTTTTATCCAATCATAGAACTGGCGATTTCAGCGCTTGTTAGGGTTGTAAAGGTTGACGGTTTGCAAAGTCGCTGTAAGGAACGGTACTGCTGAATGTCATGATGTATTATAGTCACCCATCACTGATCCCAAATCTGAATCTCTACAGTTTATAGACTTTAGAGAGATACAGACGGTGCACAAGTGTCATACGTTGCGTCGACAGTAGTGGTTATCAAATTTTGAAGAAGAAGAAGAAAGTTGTTTGTTTGAACTAATTTTTGGTTGTTGAAGCAAAGAAAAAATATTTTTTTGAAGCTTTATTTCTCATTTTACAGCTTTTCCATCTAAGGAGGAAATACCCTTCTACTCGAAGACTAGATGTCCTCTGTTTGCAGAGTTTTTAGCTGCAATTCAAAAATATATCTGCAAGTCGCGTAAGTATTTTTTCTTGCTTTTCATTTTTTTAATCGAATCTTACTGTTGAAATGTTGTTAGAGGATAAATGGACACAGGGATGGTGAAATAAAGTTTGGTTTTTGACAAGCAGCAGGATTTTTATGAACCGGAATACAAATACATTATTGAAGCAGATTGAAACTGAGAAATCTTTTTTGTTTAAAAAAAACATTTAGTACTGTAAAAAAATGTGAGGAGAAGAACAGTCTAAGTAAAGTTGTCGTATGCTACGAGAAATAAGTCATTTTTTTTTCGCAGTTTCAGTTTCTTCAGTTGTACACTTTGTAAACATTGTTCTCGCTTTTTGATTATTTTTAACTAATTGTTTAATGGGAAGGGCAGAAAAATTTAGAAATTAGTTTTTTTGAGACCTATTATATTGGTACTTTTGTATTTGCTTGAACAGCTACAATTGCTCAGTTTATATTATTTGCGAATTCTTGAGCGATTGCTCGAGAAGCGGTGGTAAGTAGACGAGAGTGTCATTGAAACTAAATTATTTTTTTTTTCAATAAAACAAACTTGCGAAAATTTCTTCTTTTACTTCTATGCTTTCAGCTTTGAGACCGCAGCTTTTAAGAATACTGAATAATCTGATTAATTGGCTAGTTGGGGGAGTTTTGAATACATCGGAATAGAAGCTATTCGTGTTGATTGTCGTCTTATCAGTATCAAATTCACGAAAGTATGACTAGCGTTATCCAGTTGGTCAACGACAAAGTATTTACGTTAAAGCGACAGCTCAGATACAGTTACAAAGACCGTATTAGCTACTCATGTTTTCGTTTGAAATAAATAAATTTCAGCAGCGAAGCGAACGCTTTTAGCAAAAACTGGGTATTTTTAAGTTGATTTCTTAAAAACTGTGTTTAACATTGTTATTCGGTTTTATTTAGCTAAAAATTTAGGCATTTACAGAAGTATGTGACAATTTTTTTTCAGCTGACGTCATTTTATTTGCTTCTTTTTTGGTCATTAAACTGTTAACAACAATACTCCATATTGGAAATGAAATTTTTGTTTAAAAGGAACAAGAAAAAAATTTTTTTTGCGTTATAAGAGACAGGAGATTTTTCTCGCTTGTTATGACACATAGTTCGCTGATGGATAATTGGCATTGAAAACAGTTGACACGTAGAGGATATATGAAAACAGTTGGCTTTTATCAGTTGTACAACATAAGAAAAATTGTAATTAATTTATGAATATGAAATTATTACAGTCTGCTTAGCAAATCTGTTAGATTTCTGTACTGTTGTCGTGGAAACTTGGTTTTTTTTGTGCAGTTGTATACGGGTAAAAGAAAAATATTTCTACCTGAAAATTGCACATCACCTAACGACTATGTAAAGCTGATGTCTTTTGGAGTTTGGCACTATTGGCTGAATGAATGCTTGCAGTTTGGAGCAGTACGTAAAATTCATCGGTACAGTCAACGATTCTGACATAGAGGCTTCTGTTTTTCATTGTCAGCAAATAATTTATTTATAAGTTTGTAATATTTGCGATAGAAGTAGCAGCAGTATATGGTGCGTGGAGAAACAGTTCATTTGAGAAGCAGTAATGCGAAACGAAGGGAATGGAAAGTTAGAATGAAAAGAAAACAAAAAAGTTAGAGGTGAAAATTTCAATTAAGTAATAACTTGCTTGTGTTGCAACATTAGTGAAGAAAAATTATACGCTGATTTGTGTTAATTGATTTGTGGACAAATAAATTAAAGCAGAAATTGGTTTACGGTCTTGTTACCTCAGTTTTCAACTAAGGACGAATTCCGTTCATTTTTGTTTTTGACTTTAATGATACTGACGTTGAATTTTTACCTCAGTTGCTTTCAA